AAAAGATTTTTTTTTTTTTTTTTTTTTTTTTTTTTTTTTTTTTTTTTTTTTTTTTAAATGTTGTGCATTCCAATGAAATAATTGAGCTCCCTTCAGTCCATTCACTTGCATGCTGACAGGCGGCTTTCTGTGTGTGCATGCTTCAGGTATGTTACGGTTCTCTTAATGTGCTTCTAGATTTTTATTTATTTTTTAAATATTTTTTAAATTTAAATTTTTTATCATTAACTTAAGCAGACCTGCCCACATCAATCTTTACCGATATATTTGCATATGCAATGTAAATGATATAGTAAAATCTCTATTGTTTGACACTTTTAGAGATATATCGGGTCAAATCTCCCAGCCCAGCACAGAAATCCCCGTCCAACATGTGCTATAGCAGACAGCTGTGTCTAGTTGTAATGTGTGTGTGTGTGTGTGTGTGTGTGTGTGTGTGTGTGTAGGGATCTTGGTTTGGATGACTTGTTGAAGCACTGCGAGGGTTTGTTGGAGAAGCTGCGTTTCCCTGAGAAAGAGCCCTGTTTTCACGCAATGGCTGGAACGCTGCTCTACTCTCTCACCGCACTAGAGATGCTCCACAACTACAACCGGTATGAGCGTCTGCATGAGTCCTTCAGCTCTCTGAGAGGAAGAACCGCCGTCACATTGTCCCAATGTCTTTCTCTCGGTGGCAGGATAACCGCAGCGGTGGAGAAAGTGGAGTTGCTGTGGCAGCAGGCGTTTTCCAGAGCCCACGTCCAGCTGCAGCTCCTCCATCTGCAGCGAGAGGCCCAGCAGGTCAGGAGCACCAGCTTCACTCCTTCACATCTGTACCGTTTATGGTGGTCAGAATAGGGCAAAAAAATGTTAGGCTAGCCATGCTTTATGGCAAGTAAAAAGGTATATTATATCTGTGCTGACGTACCTCCGGTGTTGTGAAGGTTACTTAGGATAACTCGTAATCTGTAACCTTTTAAAATGTACATTTAAAATCTAATAAGTAGTGTAACTGATTACTTTTTGATCACCTTTCAACATTTTTAATGAATGTTTTCAACTGTTAATCATTTTGAAACCTGTAAAGCAGGCAGGGTTCATCTTTCAGTTGCACTCAACACCGATTACTGTCAGACTTTCAGAATCCATCATCACTCGAATTAAGATTATAATAATTTAATTTTAAAGCACAGCCACCACCAAATCAGACTTTAGCACCTTTTTACTTTGAGATCTTTCTGAGGTTAAATACAGATTTAAAGTCATAAGATGTAGTTTAGTAGTTATGATGCTGCTTTTGAAATAAAATCTTTACGTTGCACTAACAATGCCTTGGAAAAAAGTTGATCTTAAAAAAAAAAAGGCATATGCACAAACCCAAAAAAGAGTGTTTTGCGCAGCACCACGGTGTTCTGTGAGTCTTAAGTGCTGTGTTCTGGTAATGTTTGTTATTGCGAGAGGTTTATTTCATGTCGGCTCCTGCTCTTATTTCAGATAAAGGAGCAGATGGTTGCGTTGCACTGGGAGAAAGTTCAGCCCTACAGGATTGAAGTGGCCAAAGACGTGCACAGAGCTGAAGAGCTCCGGCTGGACTTTGAGGCTTCAGTATACACTCATGCAATGGTATGTGACCATTAAACCCAACATGCACACATCAGATTTCTCTAAATGTCTGTACAATTTGTGAGCTGAGCGTATGTGCACTTTATTTTCTTCTAATTAGTTTGTCCACAAGGTGGCAACACTGGCCTGAGCTGCTGTTGTTTCACATTCTATGTTCTCACATGCTACCAAATAGAGCGGAGTTAAAGACACCGCTTTAAGTGTTTGCCTCAAAACTGAAGTGTGGTTTGGGATTAAGTCCAATATGACTGGTTCAGATGCCTTTGGTCAGATTCACAGAAACACTTGCTGGATTAGTTGGCTTCTGTCATCTTGTCCTGCTTTCATCAGGCTGTTGAATAAGACCTCATGATTGATTCCTGTGGCCAATATCTGAGGTTTAATGAAGTGAAAGGCTGTATTAATGCAGTAATTTTCCAGTGGCACAGTCTGAGCGTGAAAATGCGTTCACATGTACACGCCTGGCAGAGTTTCTGTGTGACCAGATCTCTTGTGAGCAGGCGCTGGTTCGTCGCGCGGAGGACGTCATGCACACATTAGCGGAGACGGTTCCGCTCCGCGAGAGAAAGCCTGCGGAGCCGTGGCTGGAGGACTTGGCCAGATTGAAGGAGAACCTCTGCTCTGCTGTTCAGCGTCTGTATCAGACTCTGAGGACCGTGTCTGACTACCATCACACCTGCAACAGAGTATGTGCGGTGATTCTCTAGTGTGTCTTTAACAACAAGTAGGTTTAATCAGCTTCTGGGAGTGAGAAAGTGCTATTGTTAATGGTCACACTACCCTAATAAAGAAGTAATATATACTGTGGATGGATCAAAACCTTTCAAAGTTGTCCTAAAACCAAAATACGTTCTTGTCTTAGGACAACTTTGATTAACTTTTTGATCCACTTCAAATGTTGATTACTGTATATAAAATAAATTTATTTCACACTAAGTATAGTTCAGAGCTATTAGCATATTTACTGACGTATCGCTTGAGACTTACTGATAGAAAAATGTGACCCTGGACCACAAAACCAGTCATAAGGGTCTATTTTTTTTAAATTGAGATTTATACATCACATGAAAGCTGAATGAATCTTTCCATTGATGTATGGTTTGTTATGATAGGACAATATTTGGCTGAGATACAACTATTTGAAAATCTGGAATCTGAGGGTGCAAAAAATCTAAATATTGAGAAAATCATCTTTAAAGTTGTCCAAATGAAGTTCTTAGCAATGCATATTACTAATCAAAAATTAAGTTTTGATATATTTACGGTAGGAGATGTACAAAATATCTTCATGGAACATGATCTTTACTTAATATCCTAATGATTTTTGGCATAAAAGAGAAATGTATCATTTTGACCCATACAATGTATTGTTGGCTATTGCTACAAATATACCCCAGCGACTTAACACTGCTTTTGTGCTCCAGGGTCACATATAATTAAACTTTATTTGAAGGACTGCTTGTGCACAGTGCACATTTCTTAATACTGAACCTAAAATGTGTTTTAATGTAACTATTATGAGAATTGTATGATTTCTGAATAATATCGGTCTTTAAATGAATATTTCAAGTGCACCTGAAGTATACTTGCAATAGTTCCACTTTAGCACAATCAAATATACTTCAGTATATCTTCAACACTACTTCCACACAAAGTGCCTTAAGTACAACATTAGTAGTGCTTAAGTTGTTCCAGTTTAGCAGACTTTAAGTTTACCAGTTTAGTATACCACAGGTACAATTGCAGGTTTTTTTTTTTATGGTGTACATAAATATGTAAAGGTTTCTGTAGACATGAACAGTGGGCATTTGACATGAACTACACAAGGTCAAAGAAAATGAGACCCAAACAAGGTTCTTGTGTGTCTACAATGTGGTATTAGTTGCTTGACATTGTTGACTCGTAGTCAACAATGAAGTTGAAGTGTGTAAGAGGAGTTTGGTTTGGTTCTCTCCAGGTTAAGAGCTGGTATGATCTAGTGCTGCGCGAGAGCCTCCTGCAGGAGCTGCTGTGGAGTGGACACTGTGAGCTCAGCCGAGCCCCAGACCTGTCCAGCTGCAGGAGAGGAGTCCAGACCTTCCTCAGGAGAAACCCCTGCCCGGAGGTGCTGGAGCTGGTGAAGCTGGCGCATTTCGCTGATGCTATAACTGACCCACACTTTCAGCACACTGGCTCGCAGCTGTCTCACAGGTACACCGAGAAAACTGTGGGTCACTTACGCTGCACAAGCTGCGTTCTGTGCTGTGCTATCAAACATTTGTCCAGTGACAATGTGAATTGTCCAGTGCATTATGGGCAAGCAGCCTTGTTCAGTGTGGACTCTTGGGTTGCTGTGGTGGTAAGAAACCTCAATGCATTGAGTAGTTTACCCAAAAATTGCTGAAAACGTCCTGCTCCGCAATGGATGCTCTGCAGTGAATGGGTGCCGTCAGAATGAGAGTCTGCAGGGCATCCATTGCTAGGCATGGTATCTAATGGTCATAAAATTTCAACCACAATTCTTTAAACTGATGCTCTGCTATGACAGTTTACCTTAAACTGAAAACTGGCCACAGAAAACCATTTGGTCCCATGTCAGCAATATTGACAATGTCATGCATGCACACAATAGGCTGACAACTACCAAAAAGCATCTTACTAAACCGTTTCATTACATTTACATTTAGTCGTTTAGCAGACACTTTTATCCAAAGCGAGTTACAAATGAGAACTCGCGCGCGCGCGCGCGCGCACCCCCCCACCCTTTTGGAAAGTCGTAGAAATGCTGTTTGTGGATCTTTTGTTATTGGGGCAAATGGAATGCAAAACTGATTTGTAGTTTCTGTTCATCACTGTAGAAGTTGATCTATGATAGCTTCTGATTCTCGAACCCTGTAAATGTGAAAAGGGTCTATCGGTTGGTTGGAAATTAGGCTGTATTTGTCATTGGAAATGCTGTGCTGGTATACAGACTTCAGAGCTTCTGTTTGAACATGTTTTCATGACTGTCCACAGATGCATGACTCTGAGGAGACTCTTGACCTCCGCTGGGGCCGTTCCCCTTCACGACCTTCAGCTTGCCCTCCAGTGGCAGTATGAGTTCCTCAAGGGTCACCACAGGACCTCTAACATCACTTCCCCCGGGGACGAGCGCGTTTCCTGCCGTCTGCCTCCAGACTCGTCCGCTCGTGCAGTTTCTCCGTGTGAGAGCTTGTGTGATTTAGCCAAGTGGCCTTCTGTTGGTGACTGCCGTCACCAGATCTCTGCAGGCAAGCCTCCTTCTCTCAGCTCCTTTGACTCTGGTTTCGATGGAGCGGCTAGCAGTCACCTGGACCGCAGGAGTAGAAGAGAGCCGCTGCCTAGGATTCTGGGAAATGGAGACTTTTCCGCTTTCAAGTCGAGACCTCTGCATGGGCAGATTGACGAGGAGAACATTGTGAGCGTGTCTGATTCTGAAGACCAGCGTGAAGAGCTAGGGTTTAGTTTAAAGCGGGACTCCACTCGTGCCAGCATTCAGATCGTTCCCAGAATTACCTCTGACTCTCTGAACCTTGAGATCAAGGTGAAGCGCTCCGCTACGCTGCCCAAGAACCCCTGGCTGAGCCTCCCGATAGATGATCTGGAGAGCTCTTATACGGTCACCATTACACCCAGCTCTTCCAGAGATCGGCCCGCTCCGACGGAGGAGCTGGGATCCGCTCCGCACCAGAGTCAGGAGAGCTTTGAGGAGTCGGAGCTGGATCCTGTGGGAAACGTTCTGTCCAGTACCTTAACAGATAATGAAGACAAGCCCAGCAGCACACTGGATGATCCTTCTCTTCTCTGGGACACGTTTGATCTGCACAATCTCAGACAGGACTCTTACGAACGGTTAGACTTCTCTTCAAGTGTTTAAAACATTAGTTCACCCAGAAATTAAAACCTGCTAATAATTTATTCAAACTCTTCTACATCTTGGATGCCTGAGGGTGTTTCTTGATGGGATCAGGTTTGTAGAAATGCAGCACTGCATCAGTGTCTCAGCAATGGATGCTCTGCAGTGAATGGGTGCCGTCAGAATGAGTCCAAACAGCTGATAAAAACATCACAATAATCCACAAGTAATCCACACCACTCCAGTCCATCAGTTAACATCTGGAGAAGACAAAAGCTGAAACAAATCCAGCATTAAGACGTTTTTAACTAAAATACCATAGAGTCCATAATCCATAATAACTCTTCCTCCAGTGAAAAATCCATTTCCTGTTGTCTCGCATCAAAATCCAGCCACATATTAGTTTAGAGCGGTTTAAACGCTGCTTGATCTGTGCAGATTTCTCTCCTGATTCACACCAGAACACTTTTTCACTGGAGGAAGCGTTATTATGGATTATGGACTCTATGGTATTTTAGTTAAAAACGTCTTAATGCTGGATTTGTTTCAGCTTTTGTCTTCTCCAGATGTTAACTGATGGACTGGAGTGCTGTGGATTGCTTGTGGATTATTGTGATGTTTTTATCAGCTGTTTGGACTCTCATTCTGACGGCACCCATTCACTGCAGAGCATCCATTGCTGAGACACTGATGCAATGCTACATTTCTCCAAACATGATGAAGAAACAAACTCTGCTACGTCTGGGATGATCAGAGGGTGAGCATATTTTCAGCAGATTTGTATATTTTGGGGTAACTCTTACTTTAATTACACACTACAGTGAGCAGTATCACGGACTCAGATGTCCATGCTCTGCTTCTGCTGGATGTTTCAGATGTTTCTTCTAAGGGTTTGTTCTTCTCTGTTGGGTAGGTTAGACGTGTCTCTCGGTGACTGGGTTCAGAGAGAGCAACAAGAGCTGAGAGAGGTGGAGGAGACTTTAGACCGAGCAGCTGAGATCCTACAGGTGTGTGTCTTGAGCATCTCTTCTGTTCTCATGCCACATGCATCACATCAGTGAACTATACAGACAGATACAGCCATCTGTCACGGCACATTAAAGAGTGCCACAATGGCATTTAATGTGCATTCTATGATAAAATGAACAGAATTCAAAATCTGATCATTTGGGGGTTTTTTTTTTTATCCGAAGTAACAAAGCACAAAGCTGTTGTGGTTATTGGATGGAATGTGTTCTATATAATGCCTCGTTAATGCATGCATCAACTGAAAGAGCATAGATGGGAAAAAAAATATTGATTCTTAAATTCCAAGATCAATCTAATTTGTTTGCTACACATGCACACTGAACCAAAAGACCTGTAATGAAAATTTCCGATATGCATACGTGTACCATTAAAACCCTACTCCACTCTGAATCATTTTTCAGGAGGAGGAGAATGTGCTTGCACAGGAGGTGGTGCTGGATGAGCTGCTGAGGTCCGAGGACTTGCACAAACACTGGCCCTTATGGACTGAAGGACACCAGCTCAGTACGGTGAGTCTGAGTCCGCCTGGCCTCACTATGAAAATATTTTCAATATGAAAATAGATTTTAATTATGAGATATAATAGTTTTTTTAAAAATGCAGTTGTCAAATGCATAGGCTTTTTAGCATTAATTTTATGCTACTATAGCAACAATGTAGCACAGTCCATTTCACAAACTCGCATTTTAATTGTTACACACAAACTCCCCATGCAACTAAGAATGCAGCTCTGCATGATGAAATCATTTTTATTTTTGTTTAATAGAGGGCTAGATGGTCGTATTGTTGTTCAAGTTGTTCTAACTTACCATAAAATCATGCATCTGTTAAATGAGTCGCAGTGAGTGTTACGTTAGTGAATCGGTCACAACGAGCATGTGTTTTATAGTAAAGCAGACACAATTAAGTATTTCTGGTGGTGGCGGTGGTATCATTGGTCTGTATTTGTGGTGAAATTTCTGCTTGAGTCATTTATATCTGGTGATCTAAAATGTGTTTTTCCTCTGTCAACTTTTCGAATATGTTGGCCTATGCGATTTGGTTTTATTCAGTACTCTACTAAAAGCTACTTGGCAAATACCGACGGCAGTGTCATTCACTCAGAATGCGTTTTTTTTCATTCCGCTGCAGTTTTCCATTGTATTTCAATGTAAACGTGCTATGGACGTCTTTGAATGCCGTGCTCTCGTCTCAGGTCTTTTATAGCAGCTTCTGGCGCATGATGCATCATTCTAAAACACGGCACTCAAGTTTAAAGAAGTTCAGCTTTTTAAAACATGTCTATAGACCTTGCGCTTTTTTTAAATTCCACTGACATGTCTTGCATTTTAACAACCAAAACACTATCTGTGTGAACCCATTATGTAGTAGGCTGTCAATGCTATTTAATTCACTTTAAACATCGGATGCAGTAATTCTTTCTCTTTAATACAGTTGATGCTGGGTTATTAATAAATTAGTCATGACAAAAAAAGATATCCGATGTGTTTTTCTATGAGCGATTTATAAGGTACCCAGCTTAGCTTGTTTAATTAATACCGTAGCTTGTTGGATAAGACCCACTACGGTGATGAGCCTGTGTGTGAAATGATATTAGGCTAATATTGTAGACCTACCGATGTTGGGTTTTGCTCAATATGATCAGTGGGCTTGCTGCGGTTTAATATCTAAATACGAGACGTCCTCAGTCCCAGACCAAACCTAAAATACTATATGGAGGATGCAAATTAATTTAATAATTATATGACCACGTGGTGAACCTATATGAACCGAACTCCATATTTAAACACTGTCTTCATGCTGTGTACACGCATCTGTCCTCACAAGTAAAATTTTGGCTGTATTTGTGTCCCCTTCAAAAATTGCTCTTGAGAAATTGTTTATTGTGCCCCCCTATAAGAAATGTACGTCCTTGCTCACAGCCTCACGTGCCTGTGCACTTTCCCTTCCAGATGTCCCCAAGAGAGCTGGCTGAGTCTGGCGTGATCGGATTGCACGACGATGTCCTTCAGAGTGACCTCACTTCCCCTGACTCGGACACGCTGAGATCCTGTGAGGTTTGTGAAGATGACTCGGACACCTCGGGATTATCCAATAAGAGTCCATCCACATGTGAAGGGCCTGTGCAGCGGGACACGGGGTGTCCTGAGGAACACCGAAGCGGGATCCTTCGAGAGCTGAGAGGCATTCAAGTTCTCGAGGAGCAAATTATGCAGGAGTGCGTGAAGCTGGAGGCACTGTGCTGCAGAGAGACGGAGAGTCTGGGCTCCGAGGCACCGGCGCCTGATCAGGTCAGGGAGAGGAGCGTGTTCCTGCAGCAGCTGGAGAAGATGGAGAGAAGCCTGGGCAGAGAGACTGAGAGAGTGGGCAAGGCCAAGAGGAGGTCGAGCAAAGGCCGCAGGGTTGTGACGTGTTCGGTCATGACGCTGAAAGATCTGGACGATGAGCTGTTGAGGAGCTGTGGGCTCCAGTCGCTTCCAGATGCTGAGAAAACCTCTTCAGATTTGGTTTCAAACGCAGAGGAGTGCACCAGTCCGAGTCCAGCTGGAGATGCTGATCTCACCGACTCGAGTTTGACTTCTGAGCCTGCTTCTACCGCGAGCCTCGGGCGTCTCGACTCTGAATCCCTTCAGTCTCGTCACAGTGAGCCTGTTGCGTCGAGCGGTTTGTCGGAGACTGGAAAACTGGAAGTTATCCCGCCCAGCGCAGACGTGTATCCTGAGCATTCGGAGGATGAAGCGTCTTCCTGCGACGGTCCAGACAGTGCAGATCTGCTGGAGACGGGAGAAGCGTGCTCGACTCGGGACTGCGGTGATGTGCGAGGTGCGTTTGATCCTGGAGGTGTCTCTGACGAGAGCGTCGACCGCGCTTGTGGACGAGAGGAGAGACGTCCATCAGACTGTGATGCGCGGGTGGGCTCAGGCCTGTCCGTCGTTCCCTCGAAGCTCATGCAGAACAATAACAACAACACCGCAGTGCTGTGCAGTGGAGAGAGCCCAGGACGCTCCGAGGACTCCAGGTCTGCGGTCTGTGACGGTGGAGGATCCACGAGAGTGGCCTGCGGATCTACTCTCCAGCAGCTGCAGCTCCACACATCCAGCAGACAGGTGGAGACCACAGCCCTCCTCAGAAAACACACTACGCTAATATCGGAGTTAGAATTAATTATTTATTTATTTATTTAGTTAGTTAGTTACTCATTTATCAGACGCTTTTATCCAAAGCGACTTACAAATAAGGACAACAGAAGCAATCAATTGTAGCATTAAAACAACTAAAAACAGATCCAAAACTAAAAGCTAGAACTTTATAAATACTACCTATACACATTTGAAAAATAAAGAGATTAAATAAAAATGACAAATGCATACAAGCGATACAGAATGAGACCAAATGCGATATCAGCACGTCTCCACACAGAATTATCACTTGCTTTGCAAAAATCAAAAACCATTTCTGATAGTGCGCACCTCAGATAATGTGAATAAATAAAATACACCACTCTGATAATGCTAG